CAGGGAGTGGCTTTCTTTAGGCAGGGAGGGGCTTTCTTCAGGCAGGGAGGGGCTTTCTTTAGGCAGGGAGGGGCTTTCTTCAGGCAGGGAGGGGCTTTCTTTAGGCAGGGAGTGGCTTTCTTTAGGCAGGGAGGGGCTTTCTTCAGGCAGGGAGGGGCTTTCTTTAGGCAGGGAGTGGCTTTCTTTAGGCAGGGAGGGGCTTTTTTCAGGCAGGGAGGGGCTTTCTTTAGGCAGGGAGTGGCTTTCTTTAGACAGGGAGGGGCTTTCTTCAGGCAGGGAGGGGCTTTCTTTAGGCAGCACTTAAACCCAGAGGCAGACGCTCACAGCTAGTGAAACACACTGTGGGTTTTTGTAGAGTGTACTGGATATTTTTACTGCAGTGTAAGCCTCAGCGCTGGTCATATCTCCATCATGATGTGGTAATAGCGTGATCATAAAGCGCTCGCCTGACCTGATCAAATATGAATGAGCTGCAGTCAACGCTAAGAGGCTTTCTGGGCTGTAGTATCAGCTTTCACCTGTTGAATCATTGATAAGAGTCTTCAGCGATTACACTGAGCCATGATCACACACACACACACACACACACACACACACACACACACACACACACACACACACACACACTGACTGACTGAGAGAGCTGATCCAGAATCAATCCTCTGCTGCTGGTTCAGAGCTATATGAACAGCTTTACTGCAGCCGTGTGTTTGGAGAATTCTTGTCCTGCGTATTGCTGAACACTGAGTGAAGAGTTCAGGCTTCTGTGAGAGACGCACCGCACCGCACCGCACCGCACCGCACCGCACCGCACCGCTCTGGAGTCTGCTGTGGTCCAGCAACGCTCATCTCCAGCTCTCCAGTCTTTCAGCTTTCATGGCACAAAGCCGTCTGAATAATCAAAGAATAATAATCAGGGAATTATCGAGTCGTCAGTGATGGCAATAGTGTTGTTTCCTTTACTTCTAGATTTGCTAAAACACCTGGAGTCATATTCAGGTCATCTTCAGGATGAAAGCTGCTCGATCTCCTCAATTTAGGAGTGGTTAGTAATGATGATGAGTATGAAGTGAAGTAAACACTGAAGTTATCGTGCAGTAATTCCACACACAGTTCCAGCATCAGTGGCGCATTAGCAGCGGTGAGAGACTCCTGAATCAGTCAGGCTGCGTCTACACTATAATCCAGATTCATCTGAAACCCGTGATTTGGTCTGAGAGCGCTTCATGTGCACACTCTGGCCTTCAGTCTCTCCATCATCTGGTT